GGGGCCGCTGCACCTGGCAGCGGCCGGCCAGCGGCCCGCCCACCTCGCGGCCGCGACGGCGATGGCCCCTGGCGCCGCTCGCGCTGGCCGCCCGCGGCCGCTCGCAGTGGCCGCCGCCGCGCTGCTCGCGGGCGCGGCGTCGGGCGAAGGCGTGCCGCCGCCGGCGGCGGCAACGACGACGACGACAACGACGACCACGACGACGACGACGACGACGACGACGACGACGACGACGACGACGCCAATGGCGACGGCGACGACGACGACGATGACGGCGACGGCGACGGCGACGGCGGCGACGGCGACGACGACGACGACGACGGTGACGACGACGGCGGCGGCGGCGACGGCGGCGACGGCAGGGACGGCGGCGGCGGGGGTTTAGATGATTAAACAAAAGCTGGAAGCTATTTCTCCGTTTTCAGGATCGAGGTGTTTTCCGCCATTCTGGGGTGAGTTGTTGTCTGTTTGGGGATTCTCGTTCGCGCCTTTTTCGGTTCGCTTCCATTTTGTATTGGCGTTGTTTGTGTATGTTGCGGACAGACGTTGTTTTTCCGTGTTGGTTGGCAGAAGAACGAAACGATGAAAAAATGAGGGAGAACAAAAACGCCCCCAGCGTTTTTAACATCAACTGCGGTCGGCGAGGAAGCTGCCGATGCCTCCCCGCCGAGCTGGGGATAGGGGATTTCTCGAGCGAGAGGGGGGGGACCACACCACCAGGGGGACTCCCCCCTGGCTCCTCCCGCTGGTGGTCCCTGGTGGTGGTGGTGGTGGTGGTGGTGGTGTCGCTTTTCTGTGTTCTTATTGAGGCGTCCAAGGGTCCGAGTGTTGGGTCCACCTTGAAGCCCAGATCTCCGACGACATCGAGTTCGAGGATCGAGGTTCAAGGACGCAGTTTTTGATGCGTTTCTGGGCCTCAGGGAGGCATCTCGTGGCCACGGCTGGATCCGATTCGAAATTGTAAGCAGAAAGCATCGCAGGAGAGGTTCAGGGATCGGTTTGCGACCCCCGACCCCGCATCTCCAGCGATATGTTTTTCCCCAACCATCCTGTGGTGTTGGGTCTTCGTTTTGAAGAGACAGCGCCCGTGTGTCTCCTCCTCCCCGCCTTCTTCTTCTGCTCCTCCTCCTCCTTCTCCTTTTCTTCGTCCTCCTCCTCCTGCTCCTCATCCCCCCTCTTCCTCCTCCTCCTCCGCCTCCTCCTCCTCTTCTCTTGCCTGTCTCTGCTTTCCGCGCCGCACCAATTTCGGCACACCTCTCACGAGGATCGTGGCCCCGCGGGGAGTTCCACAGAAAGCTCCAGTGGCAGGGGGTGCATGTGGGCTCCGCGCCCATTTCGGTACACCTCTCACGAGGATCGTGGCCTCCTGCGGAGCTGCACAGAAGGTTCCAGTGGCAGGGTTTGCATGGGGGCTCCGCACCACTTTCGGTACACCCCTCATGAGAAGCGTGGCCCCGTGAGAAGCTCCACAGAAGGCTCCAGTGGCAGTGGTTGCATGGGAGCTCGCCGCCCATTTCGGTACACCCCTCATGAGGACCGTGGCCCCGTAGGGACAGAAGGCTAAAGTGGCAGGGGCTGCGTGGGCACTCCGCACCGATTTCGGTACACCCCTCACGAGTATCGTGGCCCCGCAGACCGTCGATCCCCCTTCAACACTGTACACCACCTGTCCGACCCCGCCGCCCCGGCCAAGTGCCAGGGGGAAGGGGGGGTTGAAAGACCGAGCGCGGGCAAGGACGCCCGGCGACTAGGGGGGATACCCCGGAGGGGAGGAAAAGAGGGAGGAGGGGGAAAATGCTTCGTAAAAAGCGCTCCACAGAAGGTTCCAGTGGCAGGGTTTGCATGGGTGCTCCGCACAAATTTCGGTACACTCCTCATGAAGACCGTGGCCCCGTATGGAGCTCCATAGAAGGCTCCAGTGGCAAGGGCTGCGTGGGCACTCCGCACCCATTTCGGTACACCCCTCACGAGAATCCTGGCCCCGTAGGGAGTTGCACAGAAGGCTCCAGTGGCAGGGGTTGCATGGGGGCTCCGCACCAATTTCGATACATCCCTCACGAAGACCGTGGCCCCGTATTGAGCTCCATAGAACGCTCTAGTGGCAGAGGCTGCGTGGGTACTCTGCACCCAACTCGGTACACCCCTCACGAGAATCGTGGCCCCTTCGGGAGTACCGCAGAAGGTTCCAGCAGCAGGCGTTGCACTGGGGGCTCCGCACACATTTCGGTACTCCTCCCCCTCCTCCTCCTCCTCCTCCTCCTCCTCCTCCTCCTCCTCCTTCTCCTCCTCCTCCTCCTCCTCCTCCTCCTTCTCCCCCGCTCCTCCCCCTCCCCCTCATCCTCGAGCTCCTCGCGTCGTGGCAAAAATCATGACGAGAGGTGTTGGTCCTTTTCGCACCCCTGGGGCCCTAAACGGGCCCCACAGGACCGTCAGAAACCGGGTCGGGGTGAAAGACCAGTCCCAGGGAAAGGGTCTAGACCTTTGGGGTCGACGCTGCGAA